TTTTATAACTTCAACTTTCTCTGGATCGGGACGCATACCATTTTTGCTAAAAATAACACCTAAATATTTAATTTCAGGTAGACAGTATTGGAACTTGTTTATATTGAATTTAATATTCAGACTTCTGGCCCGCTCTAGGACTTTCTTGAGTATTTCATCAATTTATTCTTTAGAGTAAGAAGCTAAGCATAAATCATCAAAGTAGACCGTTACTCCCTGAATATCCTCAAAATATCTTGCTACACACTTATGAAATAGTTCAGGCAAATTACTTAAACCAAATGGGCAACGTAAAAATCTATAAGTTCCATACATTGTGCTGAAGTTACAAAGTTAACTAGATTTTTTGTCTAGTTTGATGTGATAGAAGAAGCCAACTTTTATATCTAAGATGCTATAAAATTGTTTATTACCCAATTTTGGAAATATCTTATCAATGGTGGGAATCGTGTATCTCTCTCAAAAGATGTACTTATTCAAATTTTGTGGGTCAATGCATATTCTCAATGAGTTATCAGGTTTTTCAACTATCACTACATTTGACACCCATTCTACAGGCTCATTGACTTGTTCAATTATACCTCTATTTATGAGATCATCAAGCTTGTCTTTAACTTTTTGGTGATTTTCTATGGGATACGCCTAGCAGAATTGGCTTGAGGTACCGCATTATTCGTCAACTCCTAATAGAACATTGGTCAGGAAAACAGCCCAAACCACTAAATACATCTTTGTAAATATCACATATGTTTTGTTTGCCATTACTAGTACTTGTATTCAAGTTTACTTTACCTAGGTCATCAATTCTTTGTATCAACCCTAATCTAGTGCATGCTTCAAGCCCTAAGATAGGTGTGGAACTGCCTTTTACTACAATACAATCCATTATATCTAATTTCTCATTCGTTTCTACTTGAACAGTAATCTCTCCCAAAGGTATTATCTTAAACCAACCATATGCTTCTAGTCGTACCTTACTTTTTCTTAGCTTATATGAGAAGCCAGAGTTCTTAATGATATCATAAGGTATTACATTTACCTCAGCACCCGTATCAAGTTTGAAATTGACACGTAAGGTATTGTCTATCAGTAAGTTTTTGAACCATACCTTTTGTTTGACAGCGTTTACCAAGTGTACAGAGTCGATCAATTCAGCCTCGTTTTCTTCAGCCTCTTGTTGCTTTCATCAATATTATACGAAGGTTGAGGTTTGTCTTTGTTCTGCCTTGTTGCTGGAGCACGTTTCTTTAAACAGACGTTGCTGAAATGGTTTGGCTTCTTGCACCAATTACAAAATTTGCCTAATGCAGGACAGGTCTGGTTATAGTCGTGATTCCTTCCACATTTCCTACATTGGTTTTTTGAAGCTGCAATGTTATTTGATTTTGGCTTTATCTGGTCAGTACTAAACAAATGAACCTGGTCATTTTCTTTATTTATGATCTTCAAATTATTTTTGGCAAGCTCAATATTCTTGCAGTATTCAATAATTTTGTCTAATGATGCATAAATGTAACAATGAAGCACAAAATAAAATATGAAAAACAATAATATAGGGAAAACATCCAATACAACAATAACAATGGTAACTCTAACATTGCAAAATTGACAAAACCCAAAACAGAGATGTGAAAAATAACAATTATAGCAATAGTGACACTCTAGGTTTCGGGGCAGGGGACCACGATGCAGCAGCAGAGCGTCTGATGGCTGCTAGGTTGTCATAGAAGAAGTCTACTGATGCAGAGACGTTGCCAGACCGCATAAGCCTTGGAATAGGACTCTTTTCCTATCAATAGTGACACCAAGATCCTTCATATGACTACATCTTTCCAGCAGGTCTCCAACCAAGACATAGTCATATTCAATGACATTGCTGATCCGGCTATATGTTATCACCTTGGTTTTAGCGTGATTGATATACATCCTGTTCGTAGAGCACCACTGCAGAACACTCTTTAAAGCTCCCTGTAGCAGTTAGCCTTATAGGATGTTTTAGGTGAGTTGGGGAAAGTGAATAATAACCTCCGTGGTTCCAATTTCTTGTGCCATTTGCACCGTCTCGAAAGACATGGAAGGTATTCGTGCACCCACCTCTTCCAGAAGCTGTCTAGGTGTGATCTAACGATCTAACACGAGATAATTGTCGTTTACACAGTTGGTCTTTGTTTAGATTGATTTTGAAACCTATGTGTTATTATAAACAACCTAAAGATCAAAAGATGGGCTTGTTTGTTATAGATTTGGCAACTTTGTCATTGGATTCCTTCTTAAGAGAAGTGCCATATCCAGGGACCAACCCCCTACCAATCGAAATTATTCTATCAGTTGATGAAATAAATAGTGTAATAAGGGGAGAGGAGAGAGGTTAATACGTCACCTTTATTACCAAAATTAAAGTGGTCGGATGAGGACCAATCAATATACAAAAGTCATATGTAGGCTATTATTTCATTTGACCAATGTTCAAATAGAAAACAATAATCAGGATAATATAGACAATTTGACCTAGTGCATTGTTCGATCGGCAAAACATAAACCTCATACAGCGGTGAAAAACAGGTTTGTAAACAAGAAAAAGTGGTTTGATTTTGAGTATTTAGCCGAGACAAAAAAGATGTTTAGATTGCTTAGTATTTTTTTTTTTTTTTTACTGATTCGAACTTGGTTAAAATTAACTATCTTACTCAAGTAAATCTAAAAAAAAAATTGTGCAAGTTAAAAAATAAGTTATTTAACGACAAAGTTATTACAGATTTGAACAATAATAAACGTAGTGGGAATTATAACGACGAATAAATGGATAGAGCATTTTAGCGCTTTGCTTGTGGCAGGTGAGATGAGCTATGCAGAACCTTTGGTAGATAACAACCGATTGGACAGCGATTTCACCTTGGTGGAGATAAAGAATGTATTGGCCGTGGTCAAGGCAGATAAGGCCCCAGGGGTTGATAGAATTCCTTGCGAGTTTTTCAAAATTGCACCTGATCATTTTCTAAACACATTATTAATAGTCTATAGGCTAATAACATTTTTTAAAGCAATAAAATCCTTAAAAGTCTTAAGGAGTCCATAATTAATCCATTACACAAAAAAGGCAATATAGATTTAGTGGAGAAATACAGAGGTTTTTATTTTTCATAAATTGTGTAGCTAATAGTATATTTCGTACCAAGGGCCGAAAATAAGGTTTTGCCGGCTCGAGAGAGAGCTGCAAAACCATTTCGGTCTGTGGTACGAACGCTATTTTTCACCACACTATACACTATTACCACTATTCACCACTATAATAATGCACACTGATAGTCAACACAACTACAACTTTAAGGTTATGTGAAGAAATAATTTGAGGAATCAGCAAAAATAAAAATAAATAGTTGCTAGGCAACGGTGATGGATTTTGATTGTGTATTTAAAATGCATTCATTAAGTAAGTAAGCGGACAGCTGACTTTGCGGCCCCGGCCTGTAAAAACCTGCTCGGTCCCCAAATTACGATGACAGCTGGCATGGCCAGCAAAACGTAACTTTCAGCCACCAATTAACGTATGTAATACAGCCAAAAACATCATAGTGTGGTGAAAATTATTTATCAGTATGTTAAACAATTTATTAAAAAATTGGATCAATGAGAACAACAGTCTAACAGAGTTTCAAGCAGGTTTTCGGAAGGGTTACTCGACAATTGATAATATATTTAACCTAAGTTGTATGGTTAAGCTAAGGCTTGCGCAGAAACAGGGTTTAAACTTAACTGTTTTATTGTTGATTTAGTTCTGCCTTTGATACGATTGATTGCAAGGCACTGTTCTACAAACTGTCAACGCTGGGAGTAGGCTATCTACAAGCGTGATTAATAATATTAGGAGTTACTATGACGATACTTTTGCCAGCGTGTGGCGCATGGAGGGAGTTACAAACAGTTTTGCTACAAGGACAGGTCCGAGGCAAGGATGTAACGGTAGGCCTAATCTCTCAAGTGTACCTTTTTAGCCTATTTTTAAATGAGTTGCCAGAGAGCTTTAGGGGTGAAAAAGTAAATTTATTAATGTACGCCGACGACATTATAGGTCCTACTCCTCTCCCCGACAGGAATTGTCCTTCAACACATGATAAACAAATTAGAGGCTTATTGTAATATGTGGAACTTAAATGTTAATTAATTATTTACAAAAATCTAAAATTATGATATTTAGGGATGGTCAAAAAGGAGGACAAGTGGTGTTACAAGGGTAGATTGAAGTAGTAAATCAGTACAAATATTTAGGAATCAATTTGACAAGCTCGCTATCATGGACCTCACACTTCAAAGAAAAATGTAAAATGGGTAAATTTGCTCTAAATTCAATTTGTGACAGGCTGATAACTAATAAAAATGTGAAGTAGAAGTAATATTATCAATATCTAAACAGGAAGGATTGGCGGGTCTTTACAAAATACCTTATAGTCCAGGAAATATAGATTTTGACTAGGGAAAAATTAAAGTCCCGATTTTTTTTTCATGGATGGCTTTACTTTAGTCTAATGAACAAAAATGAAGAGTTCCTCAATTATTGTGTGTGCGGGAATTTCACAATCTTCGTCAAATGTTCTAACGGCATATAGCAAATTTCTCCTACAGGAAATAAGCTATTACTCACTTAAAAACGGTCTAATTCTGATGAAATTTAGTACAAACCATTAATGTAGCATATCAGACTTAAAGTTTGAAAACCAGCCAGATCGCTTAATCCGAAGGGGTGTTTTGGGGGGATTTTGTACCCCAAAAATGGGCGTTTCGAGTAATTGAACATTAAAGTTTGACATTAATTAACATTGGGTGTAAAAAATATTAAAGACAGACAAGACTTTGACAAAAAAGATGTGTATTTAAATTGGACATTATTTACAAAGTAATAATAATAATAAAACATATGTTGGTTCAATTAAAATAAAGAAAGAAGGCAGGCATAAATTATATAACATATTGAAGAACACAAGTCAATGTTAATATGAAACATATTACATCTTTTCCCCTCCAACAGAAAGGACTGCAACTTTAGTCAGAGGCCGGCGATAGGTTCCTTTTGATGTTGTGATGTCTACTATTCGTACTTGGCCATCGTGACCTGGGTAGACAGCCGAGATTCGGCCAAGGGGCCATGTATTTCTTGGGCAGTTTTCCTCAATTATTATTGCAAGATCGTCAATCTTTGGTGGATCCAATTTCTTGTGCCATTTGCACCGTCTTGAAAGGCATGGAAGGTTCTCGTGCACCCATCTCTTCCAGAAGCCGTCTAGGAGTGATTTAACACGAGCTAATTGTCGTTTACACAGTTGGTCTTCGTTTAGGTTGATTTTGTAAGCTTCTCTTAGAAAATGGTTTGGTGTGATTGGTTCGGGGTCATTGGGATCCAGAGAAACATGTGTGAGTGGGCGAGAATTTATTATAAATTCAACGCGAACCATGAATGTCTGAAGCTCTTCGTCTTTTGGGTACTGCCAGCGCATAACACTCCTTAATGCAGTCTTTACAGACCTAACAAGTCTTTCCCAGCAGCCTCCCATATGTGGTGCTCTCGGGCAAATGAAATTCCACTTTATCCCGTAGTTCACCACGTCTTTTTGGATCTTTTCATGTTTGAGTGACTTTACAGCGTTTCTAAGTTCCCTATCTGCAGCTACAAAGTTTGTGCCATTGTCGGAATATAATTCTGAGGGAACTGGTCTTCGGCTGATGAATCGTTGAATCGCCTGAATTGCTCGAGTCGATAAACAGGTAAATAGGACACCATATCTTTTCTCATGTCTGCGGCCAACAGTAACTTCGATAGGTCCGAAATAATCCACTCCAGTGTAGAAGAATGGATGTTGCACTTTTGAGGTCCTTAACTGTGGTAGTGCAGCCATCTGAGGAGGATAAGGTTTGGCATTGTCTATGCTACACCTCATGCAGCTCCTTTGAACTTTCTTGGCGACTGATCGTACGTTTAACATCCAGAACTGTTGTCTAGTCATATTGATAACAGTCTCGATGCCCTGATGGAAACATTTCTCGTGAAACATTTTTAAGATTAGTTTAGCCGTATGACTTTTGCCGTCTAAAATGATAGGATGCTTTTGTTCTTCGCTTATTTCTGGTGAACTATGTATTCTACTCGACATTCTTATTAGAGACTGATCAATGAAGGGATTTAAAGAGAATATTCTACTGGACTTTGGTAGCGGTTTGTTCTTCAGCAGTAAATTTTTTTCTTCATTGGAGCTTGCCTTTTGAGACATTGATATCAAGTTCTGTTCAGCTTTTTGAATTTCCTCTGGTTGAAGTTCTGGTATATTTCCAAAATCTACGTTGACCGTTTTCAGTTTCTTTTTGGTGGTGGCGGTAGTATGGGACCTTAGCATGCTAATAAATCTGTGTACCCATGCTAATACACGTGTCACTTCTTCCCAAGAAGAAAAGTTTTCAACTGTCAAAAGAGGAGGGTTTTCATTACTGTTTACAACTCCGACGAATTTATTCTTTGTTTCTTCGTTATCCTTGACTTGTAGTGTGGACGGTTGTATTGGCCAGTCACTCGATTCTCGCATTAAAAATGAGGGTCCATGAATCCATTCAGAATGCATGGCTGATGTAAACTTTTTGTTACTTCTAGTTGCAACATCTGCCGGATTCTGTTTTGATGGAACCCATCTCCATTCTTCAGGTTTAGACAAATCTTGAATTTCTCCAATTCTATTGGAAACATACTGTTTGAATTGTCTAGGGTCGGATTTCAGCCAGTGCAAAACTGTTACAGAATCTGACCAAAATATCTGACGAGAAATAGTTAAGTCAATGTCTTTTATGATGCTACAAGCTATTCTGCATCCAAGAACAGCTGCTTGGAGTTCTAGTCGGGGAATTGTTGTTTGTTTGAGTGGTGCTACTTTGGCACGTGCCATAACAAGCATGGTCTTGTAAGTACCTCTGGCACATCCATGGCATAGATATGAAACTGCTGCATAGGCCTCTTCACTAGCATCAACAAACGTATGGAGTTCAACTTCTTCAATTGTTTTGACGTTAAAATAGCATCGAGGTATGGTGAAGCTCTGCAGACATTTTACTTCTTGTAGCCAGTCTTGCCATTTTTTACTAAGTTCTATCGAAAGAACTTCGTCCCACGTTATGTTTGTTCACCAAATGTCCTGAACAAGCATTCTCCCTTTTATAGTAGTAGGTACAACTAATCCCAATGGATCGAAAATGGACATAGCTCCTCTTAAAACTTCACGTTTGGTCGGAAACCTTGTTTCAACTAACTGTACCTTTTCGGCGTTCCGGTGAAATGAAAAGTGGTCAGTTTCAGCATCCCACCACATTCCGAGGATACGTTCTGTAGGTAGACGACTTTCACGTTGCAGCTGTTTTGTAGAGTTTGTCTTCAAATCTTCCGGTATTTCAAGTAAAATTTCTTTTGAATTTGACAACCAGTTACAGATTTTAAAACCTCCGGACTTGTGAATTTCTGTTATCTGTTGTATTCTAATTCTAGCTTCTTCTTCTGTATCAGTAGAGTCTAATAGATTGTCCATGTATTCACTGCAGAGGATCGCTTTACTTGCTTCTGGGTAAATTTGTAGAAACCTCTTGGCGTTGCTTTTTCTTCATAGTCAGTGATCTTGGCTTTGTATTTGTTATGAAAGTTTTTGTCTCTTGCCATCTTCCTTTCAATACCCTTAAGCCTTTTCAGCGCATTTTCATAGCTCGGTGGATATTTAAAGTCTTCTGACTTCCATAGTAGGCCGGATTCATACCTATCCCCTACTTTTTTGGTCGTATCTTCTAAAATCTTGAGGGCTTTTTCGTCTTCAACTGATTTCACATTGTCATCTTCTACTAGGGACACGCCATAATTCTCGATTTCAAAAGAATCTTTGATAATATCATGAAGTTTTTCACTTTCAAAAGACGTTAAAGTGAATTGACTATCTACTCGCCCAATGTGTTCATGACATTTACCGTGCAATGTCCAGCCTAAACGGCTCCAAGACAAGACTGGAGAGTTGGGAGGACCTTCAATTATTTTCCTAGCTAGAATAAGGTCACAGTTGTCTTGACCTATAAGTATTGTAGGTTTCAAATTTGCTGACGGTAAAGGTTGACCAATTGACCGTAAGTGAGACCACTTCTTTTTTAGTTTGACAGTATCCACCATTTGTTTTGGTAAGTCCAATGGTGACTGGGTTCGTACATTGTTTAATGTAAATACTTCGTCCTCATATAACCCTTTAATTTTAACTTTCACAGTCATGGATGTTGGGTCGAAATGTTGGGTTGCATTGGACCAGCATGTCGTGAGGGGTTCAATACTACCGTTGACGCCTAATTTATCGGCTGTAGCTGAATCCAACAAAGATACAGTTGACCCGTCATCTAAGAGTGCGTAAGTGTCGATATGACAACTTGGGCCATATAATGTCACTGGACATACTCTTAGTAGAACACGGTTATTAACAACATGACTGCTAATAATTTCTTTATTTTGCGGTTCGCTGTCCTGTTTGGGAAACCTCTCAATTTTGTCAGTATGGAGAAGACGATGGTGAAACAACCTGCACCCATTTATCCCACAAACCTTTTTTACTTTACATTTTTGGAGCTGGTGACGTCGAAAGCAGAAGAAACATAGTTTCTTTTCGACAATCATTTTCCATCTCTGCGATACATCTGCCTTCCTGAAAACTCCACATCGTTCACTTTCATGGCTGTCGAGACAAAACATACAGTTAAACTGTTTGTCTTCGGTAGAACTGGTATAAACCGGCTTTATGTCAGTTTTCTTCTGCCAGAGTTTCTCTTCTGTAGGACGAAAGTAAATACTCGGGATTGGGCATTGTTTTTCCAACCAAGTGGAAAACTCCTTCAAGTCGGGACTGCTTAGAGCATTATTACTTACATGCTCAGCCCACCTGTATTTTAAACTATAGGGAAGTTTGTTGAGACATTCATTTAGTAAGTAAGGGTTTAATACATAATTTTCTAGATGTAATGACTCTGCTGTAGCAGTAAAATTCAAATTATTTGTCGAAAACTCAACAAGACTTGTAGTGTCGTCTTCCTTGACTGAAGGTAGCCTACGAGTCTTTTTTAACATTGACTCCAAAATGAGTTCTGGTCTACCAAAACGCATCTGTAAGGTCTTGATAATTGACTTAAGATTTTGACTTGAGACAAAAAGAGGCTTAACCATTCTAAATGCTTCTCCCTCTAGGCAATTCCTTACTCTTATGAGGTTGTCATCCTCACTAAAAAAATAGGCAGTTTTTTCATACACCGAAAAAAATATCGGCCATTCATCAGGCTTGCCACTGAAGCTTGGAAGTTTTTGACGAAATGAAACAGGCTGTATAGCTTTTTGGAAGGTATCCGCAAGCTTTTGCACGGCTGAGGTCATGATGGCTGATGAGGACTTAAGAACTGTCGGTTCTTTTTCATTCAACCACCTTTCAACCTTGCTTTGCGGTTCTTCCTCATCATCAAGATTTATGCTAAGTCCTACCTTGGTTTCAGATCGATTACTAGGGCGGCTTGACTGTTGACTGCCACACACTGAAGCAGACTCAAGCTCAGCTCTCGCTGTCAGCAGTTGCTTCTGTCGCTCTAGATCTCTAGCTTCCATTTGTCGTTGTCGCTCCATTTCTTCAACTTTGCAGGCATAAATTATATAACATATTAAAGAACACAAGTCAATGTTAATATGAAACATATTACATTGGGATTAATTAATTAACATTTAAAGTTTGAAAGATTCAAATTTTAGTTTTTACTATTGGACACAGCTTTAAAAAACACACAAATTGGTATTTTGATCATTTTTTTACGCCAATTCGCTACCAAGATATTGAAAGTGCTTAAGACAGTACATTGTCTAATGTTATTCTTATGGTGGAATAGAAAAGTTGTACACCTCACTTATTTGTGAACGTATACTGATGGAACTTGGTATACGGCTTCTTCTCGTTGTGGTCTATTGATATTTTCTCTAAAAATATTTTTTCTCCTACCCTAGTAGCACAAATATATATTAAATACATATGAATAAATATATTTAAAATCTATTTTATATGTCCTATTTTATAGGACACGCACTACGGAGAGAACGAGGTTCACTACTAAAAGAAGCAAGTATAGGAAAGCCAGAAGGGAAACGACCATTAGGAAGGCCCAAGAAGAGATGGTGGGATAGTGTTTCCAAGGACGTCAGAGAGGTGGGGGCAGAAGTGGAAGAGGCAGAAGATCGAGAGAGATGGAGAGCAGTTGTTGGTGCGGCCAAATCCCGCCTTGGGCATAAATGGCCATGGGAGTGAGAGTGAGTGAGTATTTTATATGTCTCAAGTGTGTATTAATGTCAATTTTAGCGAATTTCCCTATAGGGAAGTAGCTATTACCGTAGGTGGCACGGTAAGACCTAGACCCGGGACCGATTTACTTTTTCATTTTGATGTCCCCAGAGGCCAAAAACACTATTCGTTCAAATTTTTATATATGTATATATATATATATATATATATATATATAGACTTATATATATATATATATACGTCCGTGAACGCGATAACTTGAGTAATTTTTGTCCAATTTTGATGAAATTTGGTTTAAAGGTGTAAAGCGGGATAAACTTGAATGAGTTCGCGAACCAGCACGATCGGACCATGGGAACGGGGCTTTACGGGGGGTTTTATGGGGTAAAAATTGGTTTTTCTCACTTTTGACCCTCAAAACACAAAATTTCCCAATTTCTCTTTAGACCTTTTTAAAGAGCTTAAAAAAACAAATAATTTAGTATATAAAAGTATTTTTGTTCGATTATTAGTAACGGAGAACATTAAAAAAATTGTAAATTTAAAATTCCCATGTTATTCTTAAGGAGAATATTGTCAAATGTTGTAGTTTGCTTGTCTATGAATATATTTTGATCAAACTTGGCAAATTTATTTATTTTGTACTAAGCTATCAATATTTTACTCAAAAACACACTTTATTAGTTTCCTTGTAGCAGCAAACCTAGGTACTCGCTAAACCTAATGTTATTAAAATATATTTAACTGAAAATCAATTCAGACAAATGGAAATTCGCTTAGTCGGCAGGTTTGCTGCAGCGGGGATATTATATAATATTTAAAATATATTAAATATATAAAAAATATGTTTTTGAATCTATTAAATATTTAAAAAATATGTTCCAATAATATATTTTAGTGAATTATATTTAAATAAAAAAATTATTTAATATCTCTTCCAAACATCCCATGGAGCATAAACATAAAAACACAAAATAATAAAGATTTAGTATGAAAAGCACTATTATCAGTTGAGTAAATTGATGAAATCGTTCATAAAAACAAATTTTGAAAAAATTACTGGATAAAATTTTTTCTGCCCGGGTGGGTCTCGAACCTGAGTCCTTCGACTTATGAGCCTCTTATCTTACCTCTGAGCTACTTGTGACTGTTGTTAGCAATAGTTTTCAAATGGTGAAAGAGTGGCCGTCAGTTGCAATGGTTGCAATACTTGAGATATTTTTTATACTACAGTATAATATGATTCTGTTAATCTGTTTTGGCATCAAGTAGTTGAGTTGAATAGTGCTGTAGTGAATAGTGAGTAGTCTCCACGAATACAAATACAGTAAACTACAAAAATTAATTTAAATACTATGACAAATATTATGTAATTTATGGCATATGTAAATCAAATAATTATTTTTAGAACGTCATATACAGCCGTAATTAGTTTCTTAAAAGGTCGCCAGTCACTAGCACCCTTTTCTAGCCAATCATTCGAGATTTCTATGATCACATTCATTGTCACATATTGCAATTAAAAAAATTAAGTCCATCAACACTTTTTGTTTGTTTGACCCAAATGTAGCTGTCGAACATGTATACAGCCTCTTAACTATATGCGTAATTTTTTCTTTACGTGCATGATAGAGTGACACCATTCAGAGTACGTATTATTATTAACCTAATTTTAACGCTTTCACAATAGCAATTATCATACAAAAATGCAAGTATAAATTGATAGACATCATAAAAAACAAAAATATGAAAATTATTTATTTGCTAATTATAAAAGATTATAGGCTATATATTCTACAAATTTATTATTATTTTATTAATAAAAACATCTAACGTTTTTCAAAATATATTTATGAATAATTTAAATATATAATATAGCTTCAAAAACATTTTATATATATATTTAAAATATTCTCAACACATAATTTTTTTAAATATTTAATAGGAAAAATATACATATAAAATATGTATATTATAGATTCTATACTTATTTTATCAATATATATTATGAATCTATTTTATATATCCAAAACTTATATTTAATATATATTTTGCATTGCTTTTTGGTAATATTTTAAATATATATTTGAATATATCAAACTATTATTAAAGATATATTAGTTATATATTTTATTCGAAGTTCTATCAAATACAACTTTAAATATATAAAATATTTATAAAATACATATTTGTGCTACTAGGGTAATGGTCCTGTGGCAGCAAACCTGCGTACTCAGCCCCTATGTTATTCTTATGGAGAATAATTAAAGGCTACGTCTCCCTTTGTGAATATAAATTAATACAACTTTTTATATTGTTTCACCTAGTTGAGTTCTATTAATATTTGCACAAAAACTCATATTTTGTATTCCTTGTTGCGGCAAACCTTTGTACTCAGTTCCCATGTTTTGCTTACTGAGAATAATTCATATGCTATACAGTAAACATTATGTATATTATATGTATATATATATTTCTTGTTTATGAATGCGTTTTAAAGAAACTTGGTAGGTTGCTTTATGTGCTAATATAAAGGGTGTTTCACGGGAACCCTGACAGTAAATGGTTCCTTGGATCAAAACTAGAAAAAAACTTCCTATATGTCCTTAACTCACTCGTTTACTATTTATACGTAAAAATAGGTTTTTTAGGTTTTTAGTGTATCTGTTTTTACCTCTATATTGACAAATTAACAAGATATTTCGATAAAACTTGCATTGATAGAGAGAAAATTAAATTTCAAAGGGATTTCATTACTATTTTGGGCAAACATTTTGGTTGTGACTATTAAGAATTTATTTTCAAACAAATCTTGATTTAAAATTATTTTTGGTTTTTGACAGCTCTTCATGTAGTAACCATTCAAGCTTTTGGCTTGCAACCTTACCAAAAGTTGTAGAATTTAACAGAGAACAAGGAAATGTGAATTTATCTATAGGTAGGCCTACCTTTTATTGGGATAATTTTTTCAAAATCTAAAATATTCTAAAATATAAAAATTAATTTAATTAAGCGAAATAAACAAAATTGCATATTTAGCTTATTTTTAAACTCATCTTAATAAAGGTTGGTATATGGGTTCTCCTAGTTGAGAAGTATTGCAGAATGGCCTAAAACTTTCTTCTTTTTTATTTTATGATTGAAAACAAGCATACCGACTTTCCTATATTAACCTTATGGAGAGGATGGGAGTAAGCAGGCTTTGTGCAACAGAAATTTAAAACTAGAGATTTTAGGCCATAATCATGTAGTATTCAACTAAAAGAAGGGATATACTAAGTTTTAATAAGATGTGTTCAGAAATATGTAAGCTATTGTATTTTATTTTTTCCCCATAAGGTTAACATGGGAAAGTGGGTACTGGTATGCCTTTTTTTCTAAAATTAAAAATGATAAAGCAGGAAATTTTAGGCCATTATGCAATACTTCTCAACTAGGAGAACCCATATAACAACTTTTATTAGGATGTGTTATAAGCCAAATAAAAAATGTTGTTTATTTAGTAAAATTTAATTAATTTTTAATATTTTACAATATTTTAGATTTTTACAAAATTATCCCAATAAAAGGTATACATCAATTCTCTGTTAAACTCTACAGCTTTTGGTAAAGTTGCAAGCCAAAAGCTTGAATGGTTACCACATGAAGAGCTGTCAAAAACGAAAAAGAATTTTTAATCAAGATTTTGTTGAAAATATTTTATTTTTAAACTTATTTTATCAGTCACAACCAACATGATTGCACAAAATAGTAATGAAATCTCTGTGAAATGTAATATTCTATCTATCAATGCAAGTTTTATCAAAATATCTTGTCAATTTTTTAATCTAGAGGGTAAAATGTTCTACAGATACCCTAGACTAAAAACCCAATGTTTACGTATAACTAGAAAACGAGTGAGCTTAGGACAAATGCTAATAGGACATATTTTTTCAGTTTTGACCCCAGGAACCATTTCCTGAAGTTTGTCAGGGTTCCGGTGAAACAATCTGTATAATGAAATGAACAATGAGAGGCCTCCTGCGAAAAAAAGCTAAAATTAGGAATTAAGTAAAAAACTAGCCTACATTGTGAACTTATTCTGTGTGTGCTATGTTAGGTTTATTTTACATACTGTATTAGAAGTATTCATGCAATAATTTATGATTAACTGTTTTATGACTTTTTTATTGAATTAGTCTACTAGTAAGAAATAATAAAAATTTCTTATCCAGATTTTTAAAATCATTTTATAATTATTTTAATTTAACCAGCAGATCGGCAAATCCGCACACACCATCAATGGGGAACTTTCTGTATTTGCTTTTTATACCTAATAGAAGATAATAATGGAATA